AGTTAGCCACAATCACACAATTATTATATGAAATTGGTCTGGATTTCAGATATTGTATCTAAAAGTCTATACCTTCTTAATCAATATTAGTTAGTTTTATAACCAAGATGGACAAATATCTTAAAAATCACCCATTTGTAAATAATTTAGATATTTTAGTTGACTAAGACTTTATTGAGAACTGACTGATATTGTGTAACTTTATTTTTGATGGCCAGAGGTTGCCTTAGAAGAGTCAAATGAGGGAGGTGAGGTTCTGGTTCAAGTGCACACAACTTCTGCTAGAAGGGATGCAGCACCCTCATTGGACCACTCTTTCCATGTCTTTGATGGGGTTGTAAAATCCAAGGTAACTCTTGTTGCTGAACATCAAGGTATCACTGGGGCTGCGTTTCATTTTCAGTACTCTAGAGGGCACTGCCCTTACTTGTCCAGCCTGTGGAGGCTTGCCACATGGCTTGACTTGTGCTCTCTGTCATCATCAACACAACAGTGGTGGATTGACTTCTCATGTCTATTGCAATTATTCAATTTTATTGTTTATTGGTGTCATTCAATTAATCCAGGATATATATAGTTTGTGTGGTCTGTGCTCATGGAGAGGAAAAGGGTTTGTACTAATGCAAGATGCATGTGGGCATCAAAGGATGATGCTGAGAAACCTGACTTACCATTCTCTTCCTTTTTTTTTTTTGAGACAGGATCTGTCTTGTTATTTTTAATGTGGGTGCTTGGGATTTGAACTCAGGTCCTCATGATTGGGCAACCAGAAATATTACCCTCTGACTCATCTTCCTAATGCAATCTTCCTATATTTTTAAGGTCAACTGATTAGCAATGTTTATGCCACATTTGTCTTACGATGTTTGGCCATGTTGCCTGATATACTTTTAATACAAGGATAGGAAATGGGTATTGTGGCCTGTTATATTGCCTATTATAATATATAATCTGAAGATTGTACAGTAATAGGCATGTGATATATGCATAAATGGTATAGAAAATTAACCAAAATGGTCTCAAACCTTTAAATGTCTTTCCACTAGAGTATTCTCAGTGATTAAAGTAGGATCTATGGATAGAAACATTATTGCTTATATCTAAACGTTAAGGTTTAAGATGGCCAGCAACATGCGGAGCCTGTTCTTTGGATTTTCAATAATTATTTTGCAGAAAGATAATAACTTTGTATGAAAAAGCGGAATAAACGGGTAATCACAGGGACTGATATATTTGCTCTTGGGAAATGGGAAAATCCCGAGAAAGAATTGTCATTCCTTTTGTCGACAACTGAACATAGTCCTAGACATACTTAAGAAGAGGAAACTTCACCTGAGAAATTTTCACCATCAGATTGAACTGCAAGCATGTCTATGGGGCATGCTCTTGAGTGATGATTGATGTGTGTGGGCCCAGGCCACTTTGGGCAATATCACCTCTGGTCAGTTAGGCCTGGGCTATGTAAGAAAGGTAGAAGGGGCAATCCAAGAGAAGTAAGCAAACAAGAAAGCAAGAAGTGTTCCTCCATGGTCTCTACTTCAGTTCCTACCTCTAAATTCTTGCCTTGAGTTCATGCCCTGAATTCTTTTGACAGTGGACTGTAGGCTGTTAGCCAAATAAACCATTTCCTCTCCAAGTTGCTTTTGGTCATGGTGTTTATCGCATTAACAGAAAGCAAACTAGAGGAGAATGTTAATCCAAACCTTACAGCGGTAATGTTTACCTCTGTAATCATTAACATTGAATGGTTATATGGAAAAAGCATAAGTTTTGAAGTTTCAGTCATTGAAAGTTTACCAGAGATCAGATGTTGCTGTTGAAGTAATTTACATACTGGAATGGGAGAGAGGTAAGGCAAAGTTAAATAAAAATAAAATCTCTGCAAATATAAAAGTTTTGCCCTTGGGAATCTGCTGATAGAAACACCTCCCCTTATTTATAATTTTATAAATCTGTGGCCAAATTTGGTTTGAAAATATTAAATAAAAATGGTCAAAATCAAACCAAAAGAAATGGGATGATATTATGAATAAGACTGTAAAGTAAACTCTTTTTCTACATCCAGTCTAGGACATGAACTATTTTATTCGTCTTTTTCCATTTAATTTGTTTTTTATTCATTTTACATACCACCCACAGTTCTTTTCCCCCCTCCTCCTCTCCCTCTCTCTCACTGCAGCACGACTATTAAAAACCCAGAGACAGATATTGGAGTTCTACCTGTAGGTCAGAAAAGCAACAGCCAGCCACTGACTCTTACCTCTACCTCAGTCTGAAATGGTAATTCTGCCTCCAGGAATCTTTAGAATGAGACTGCCTGAGATCTGTCTCCTCCTGTCTTATATTCATCTCTAGTGCTGGAATTAAAGGCATGCATCCCTTATGCCTGGTTTCTGTGGCAAACTAGTGTGGCTACTGAGATTAAAGGTATGTGTCACCACTGCCTGGTCTGTACACCTAACCAGGGTGGTTGTTTTAGTTTCTTATCTTAAGCAAGTTTTATTTATTAAAATATAAATGAAATATCACCACACCGCACCTTTCCCCAACCTAGTCCCATTCACTCCTTAGAAAAGGTAAGACCTCTCATGAGGTGTCAACAAAGCCTGGCACATTAAGCTGAGGCATGATCAACCCCCTTCCCACACCCATCATGGGACATCAAGGCTGAGCAAGGCATCGCATCATATGAATTAATGCACACTGTATGTGCCGCCTGGGTGTCCACCACACGGAGCCCTCTAACCTCTTAGTCTAGCTGTTGCATTGTCACAGTGTTTCTGTTCAGGTTACTCTAATTTTACTTCATCTTGGCATCAGGGTGAAACAAGAGTGATGCTTTAAGTTTGGACAAGCTAATAAGAAGCTGAAAAATTGTGCTCTAAATGAAAAGAGGTAAAATTTCTTGATGTCGTAAGTACAGAAAAAGAACTGAGGGCTGAGGGTGTTAAGACCATTGGCAAGGCAAATCTGTTGGTGAAACTAAGAAGAAAGTCAAAGAAATTTGTGTTACTTGAACTCTATTGCTAGGAGTCTTAGCTGGAGTCATTTTGTGGGTTCCTGGGAGTTTTCCTGGCATCAGGTTTTCATCCTAATCCCTTAATGGCCCACTCTATTAAGATAACTTTCTCATCATTGCTCTCTGCCTCTGTCCTGCTCCCAACTCGATCATTCCGATCCTGCACGTTCTCATCCCCCATCCTCTCCCTTATACGCCCCCCTTACCCAGTTTACCCAGAACATCTTATCTATTTCCTCGTCACTGGGAGATCCATGCATCCCTCTTAGCGTCCTCCCTGTTACCTAGCTTCTCTGGGGCTGATGATTATAGCCTGGTTGATCTTTACTATATATCTAATATCCACTCGTATGTAAGTACATGCCATGTTTGTCTTTCTGGGTCTGGGTTACCTCATTCAGGATGATTTTTTTCTGGTTCCATTGATTTACTTGCAAATTTCATGATGCCATTATTTTTTTCGCTGAGTAATATTCCACTGTGAAGATAGATAAACTACATTTTCTTTATCTATTCTCTGGTTGAGGGGCATCTAGGTTGTTTCCTGGTTGTGGCTATTATGAATAATGCTGCTATGAACCTAGTTGAGCAGATGACCTGTGGTATGGTTTAGCAACCTTTGGGTATATGCCCAAGAGTGATATTGCTGGATCTTGAGTAGATTCATTCCCAATTTTCTGCAAAACTGCAACCCTAATTTCCAAAGTGACTGTACAAGTTTGCAGTCCCTTCAGCAATGGAGGAGTGTTCCCCTTACTCCATATCCTTTCCAACATTGATTGTCATTAGCGTTTTTTATCTTAGCCATTCTGGCAGGTGGAAGATGGTATTTCATAGTAATTTTGATTTGCATATCCCTGATAGCTAAGAATGTTAATCACTTCTTAAAGTGTATTTCTACCATTCGAGATTCTTCTGTTGAGAATTCTCTGTTTAAATATGTACTCCATTTTTAATGGGATTGTTTGCTATTTTGATGTCTAGTTTCTTGAGGCCTTATATATTTTGGATATCAGTCCTCTGTCAGATGTATGGTTGGTGAAGATCTTTTCCCATTCTGTAGGCTGCCATTTTGTCTTACAGACAGTGTCCTTTGCTTACAGAAGCTTTTCAGTTTCAGGAGGTCCCATTTATTAATTGTCAACCTCAGTGTCTGTGCTACCGGTGTTATATTCAGGAAGTGGTCTCCTGTGCCAATGTGTTCAAAGCTACTTCTCACTTTCTCTTCTATCAGCTTCAGTGTAACTGGATTTATGTTGATGTCTTTAATCCACTTGGACTTGAGTTTTATGCAGGATGATCACTATGGATCTATTTGCATTCTACATACCACCCTCCAGTTATGCCAGCCCCATTTGTTGAAGATGCCTTCTTTTTCCATTGTATATTTTTGGCTTTTTATTTTTGTCACAAATCAGGTGCTCATAGGTGTGTGGATTTATGTCAGGGTCATATAAAACACAATCTGAAGACCACATGCCGCCCAGTTATTCTTGCTCCTTCTGTACCTGAACAGGGGTCCCCACAAGCTCTCCTGTGGTATTCATGCATCACTGCTCACATATTTCGAAATCTTGTGGTGAAAATGGCAAATTTCCAAACCATGCTTTAGGATCCAGCACATGAACTGCAATATCCAAGTATCCAAGGGCTTTCTTTATTATTGGTAAGAAATAACTTCTCTTTACTATTATCAAATTATTAAATATAAGTTTTTACAGTTTGTAAATACATATTTGCTATTTATAGGAGTGGAATGTTTGCATCATTTTTCATCTTTATAAATAATATGGAACACAACCATATCTTTGCTACCGTTTTATCCTTAGTATCCTTTATAGCACATAGCTTGAATAGAGTGTGTACATGGCATACTGAATGGGTGAACAAAAAAAATGAAAAAATTCCTTACTATGAAAGATAATCCGGAAGTAAAGTGTTTACAACAACAGTAATGATAATAATGACTTTTCACACTTACTTTAGTTCTTTTCAGGCAGAACTTCAAAATGAAAAGTTCAATAACTCAATAGACTGCATATTCATTATAATTCCTCATATGTCGTTAGTCACCCTCTTTGGCCTCTGTGTTGACAATCAGTGGACTTGATAATCCCAGGAAGTAGGTTCTGTAAATTGTATTGTAACACATGGACATGTTACACAGGATATAATAGTAAGTGGTAACAAACCCAATCAATCCAAACCAAACAACATCAAAACCTAGGCTTGATTAATGCCTCTAGTATGAACTTGCTGCAGCTTTGGGAAAAGTTATCATAACAATAATGATGAAACTACAGAATACTAATACTTATCTAGCAAAGTAACACATTAATGAAGTAAAGAGTGACAGTTAAAGGTAAATTGGACATTTCTCTCCACAAACTCTCCCCCAAACCTCAGATAATATTCTCTGCCTTCTAGGTAAAATGAGCTATACATTTGTCATGTAAACACAGATTCCACATCCCTAGCGTGTCAAGCAACAGTACAACTTGATTGTCAATCACCAACTCCTTACAGAAATGTGTGAATGAGATTATATTATAATATCAACCATTGATATCTCTCCTTCCTTGGAAGAGAACTGGGCTGACTCTAAACATCACATAGTATCACTAACCAGCATGGGACATTTGCGGGGGCAGGGATGCAGTAGTACCAGGATTATTCGGATAGCAAGCAGTAGTGCAAGGCGTTTTATTTTTTACTTTCTGTAAGTAGTAGGTTTCCAAAATGATATTTTGAGCTGAGACTCCATGCCTCCACTTCAATGTGGGCCACTCTGCTTTCACTTTTCCGAGTTCTTTTCAAGGATTTCATTGGGGGAAGAAAAGGTTTTCACTGTTTAAAAAAATCTGAACACGTCAATAGATACCTATCCACTTTGTTTGAAAATTGAAAAGCTAAGACTGAAGAAATTCGCTTCCTCAAATGCACGCCTGTGTTAAGAGGAAGAGGAAGTTTGCTCCTTAGAGCTCACAGTTGACCCTTGTAGAGCATTCTGGTGCCTATTCTCTTGCCTCCAATACATATGGAGTAGCTGCATTAGCATCTCCTTTCTGAGGACTCCAAACACTGCAAGCTGCTCTATCTGAATGCAAGGGAAAATGTATACTTGTAATGCAAAGTGGCAAGTGATGTGGATGCCTCCATTCCCTGGCTCTACACAGGGAGCTTCAAAAGGATGTTTTCCATCCTGTTTTCATCGTGCTGTTTCTGTTGGATTAAGCTGTGATTACAAACATGGCACTTTACTAGATAATATATCACTCACTGATTATTTTTCTTTCCTTATTCTCTTCCTGGGTTTTCATTAATAAGTTTTTGTCTATCGAATAATTGCTTCTGAGGCAACTAAAATACCCACCTGTCCTGATCTAGGTTATGAGCTGGCTGCTACTGAACAAGTAGATGGAACCTAAACAATTATGAAGAATCAGGGAAAGGAACCATGTGACAGAACTTCCCACAGAAGCCTTGACTTAGAGTCCTTCCAAACTTTTCTAGAGGTTTCTCACTCCTCAGCCACTAAAAGCCTTGCTCAACATCACCATTGTTCCTAACTTCCTTGGTCTTCATGCTGGGGTTCCAGCTCATTTATACACAGTGTTTGGCGTACGAGATTCACTGGTATGATAGAGCAGAGTAAATCACCTCCATTGGGTATTGGTAAAATCCTTCAGAACTTTAGCTCCCTGAAGTAATGAGTAGAAAATAAAGAATCTACCCAGGATCAGGGAGAATTTAGCCTTGGTGATACAGGCTTACAAACCAAAAAAAGGTTTTTAAGTATAGGAGAAACATAAAAGTGCTATTTAAGGAAGAAAATGCTGTGAAGCTATACTGAAAATAGATCAGATCAAGCGAGCTAACCATCAAGCATCCAACAGAAGACTTTTGCTGTGATCAGGTATGAAGAGCTGTCGTGGGGAGGAGAAAGCCCCTGCCTGGGAAAAGAGATGGAGTATGTTGGTAAAGAGAGATACGGTAAGAAATTCCAATAGGAACTGTGCCTGCTTGTGGGTTGAAATGAACAGATTAGGTTTGTGTTGCTTTTTCTTCTTTTCACAGTATTTGAAGCAGTAATTACTTTTCACAGTAATTTGGCATTATTGGGTAGATCTTATTTTCTGTTTGTTTTTACAGTACTGGGGATCAAACCCTAGACCCTGTGCCAGTCAGCAAGTCTTCCACCAGTGAGCTATCTGTGGCCTTCGAACTACTGTTAGTAAGACAAAGGCAGTGCAGTGGAGAGTGGCAATATTTTTTGCTTGTTTTGTTTTGCTTTTCAAGGCAGGGTTTTTCTTTGCAACAGCCCTGGCTGTGCTTGAGCTTCCTCTGTAGACCAGACTGGCCTCAGACTCACAGAGATCCGCCTACTTCTGCCTCTGCCTCCCAAGTGCTGAGGTTAAAGGCACGTGCCTGGGTAAGAGCGGGAATTTTTGCTAGAGAAAATGAGTGAGCTCAGCTCAGTTACTTGGAGCAAACTCCAGATTCTAATATGTTTGTTCAGATACACAAGAAGTCAAGAGACTTTGCAAACCTTTTACACCACTGTTTGGAAAATGTAGCGAGGTCAATTAACCTTTACTGTAGAAAATCAATATAAATGATTTTAAATATTTCTTATAACTTTTTATAGTATTCATAAGAATTCAACAATATGATCTTAACAAAAGCTAAATTTTGCATAAGATATTAGATTTTATGACACATTCAATTAATGTGATTGAAAGTCCCTATGAGCAGTGTCTATATTTACATACTAAAAAGATGGAAATGTTTGATATGTTCATGTCCCTTTACTGTGTTTTGAACACACATTGGGTTTATCATGCTTGAGAGGAAATGGAATACACAATGTACCAATATTTCTCTTAACAGATTTAAAAATGAAAACAGTTCTGTCCACACCGAGTCAGAAGAGCTTCAAGTCATCGTTTCCCCATTCGCCCAGCAGTCTTGCCCAGTGCTATTTAGTTTCACAAGTGCAAAATGGATGACCTTGCAGCAGTATGTAGGCGAAGGGAGGGGGACACAGTGGAGAGAGTCCTTGGCACTAATCAGGGTCATCTGGGAAGCCTTTGTTGAAGAGGAGACTTGAACTGCTGCTGGTAACAGGCAGCGAGACCCTCAGAAGTACACTCGAGGGGAGTGGTGACTTAGGGCTCCTCAGGAGTCCCTTAGATGAGACACAGACATCTGAGTATGAAGTTGTAAAGTCACTTGGGAACATCAGGTCTTGGAGGCTGTGGCACCTTGGTGACTCAGACCCGAGAGCTTTACAGCCCCTTCACGCACAGGCTGGTTATGTTTTCGAGCAGCATCTGAGTCATCCCTGGGAACAGTTGGCCATGCTACCAGCACTCTCCAAAGTGATTACAGAATATTTATGCCGGTTGACAGAAGGGGATTGGATGAGGGTACTCAGGGGTTCAGTACTGTGGAAGCAAATGTGCCTGAATTCTGCTTTCCCCTGAGCCTCTATGACAAGGCAGGTAGGAAACTTGGAGGGTTGAACCCCAGTACCACAGACAATACAAGAATCAATGAATAAATGGGACCTCCTGAAACTGAGAAGCTTCTGTAAAGCAAAGGACACTGTCAGTAAGACAAAAAGGCTACCTTCTGACTGGGAGAAGATCTTCACCAACCCCTCATCAGACAAAGGTCTGATCTCCAAAATATACAAAGAACTCAAGAAACTAGACACTAAAACTCTAATTAACCCAATTAAAAAATGGGGTACTGAACTGAACAGAGAATTCACAACAGATGAACTTCGAATGGCCAAAAGGCACTTAAGGTCATGCTCTACCTCCTTAGCGATCAGGGAAATGCAAATCAAAACAACTTTGAGATACCATCTTACACCTGTCAGAATAACCAAACTCAAAAACACCAAGGATAGCCTATGCTGGAGGGGATGTGGAGTGAGGGGAACACTCATCCATTGTTGGTGGGAATGCAAACTTGTGCAACCACTGTGGAAATCAGTGTGGCAGTTTCTCAGGAAACTGGGAGTCAACCTCCCTCAGGATCCAGCAATTCCACTTTTGGGAATATACCCAAGAGATGCCCTATCATACTACAAAAGCATTTGTTCAACTATGTTCATAGCAACACTATTTGTAATAGCCAGAACATGGAAACAACCTAGGTGCCCCTCAATAGAAGAATGGTTAAAGAAGGTGTGGAATATACACACTAGAATTTTACTCAGCAGTTAAAAACAATGACATCTTGAATTTTGCTTGCAAATGGATGGAAATAGAAATCGTTTTACTGAGTGAGGTAACCCAGAC